TCCCTTTGTTAGTAAATCAAATGTTGGGAGGAGGATTTACGTTGGATGTCACATTAAGTATGACAGAGAATGGCCACAATCACTGATATAGAGCAAATTTATGTTTAGCATATGGGATGAAGTATAACTGCTTTTATTTTTTTTTACTACCAAGTCACAGTTGACTTACGGTAACCCTGTAAGGTTATCAAGGCAAGAGACATTCTGAGGTGGTTTGCCATTGCCTGGCTCTGCATTACAACCCTGGACTTCCTTGGTGCACTCCCATCCAAATACTAGCCAGGGCCGACTCATCTTAGCTTCCAAGATCTGACAAGATCTGGCTGGCTTGGGCTATCCAGGTCAGGGCATAACTGCTTACGTCACAAGTTAAACATTCCACATCCAGGTCGGTCAGGATGTACACATTAAACTGAGTCATAGGCCAGTTGTACACTATTAACACCAATAATTATATGTAATGGATACTGCCTGCAAGCTATAACTTAGTCCAGTTTTGGATAATCGGCATTTCTAATCTTAAGGTACCAGTTAAGGCTAGCAGGAAACATTCCTGAAAGCTCTGCATTTGTTTATATGCAATAACTGAAGCCACATAACAGGAAGAAAACAGAAGTCTTGCTAAAATAACTACGTGTACTCAAGCAGAGGAATGTGCACACAAAGATGGAGCAGATATTTCAGCTGAAGTTGGAAAGTGTACCTTGATTAATAGGTCTGACTATACATGAACTATTTTGGAAGTTTGCTGGCAACTTGTACAGCAGCGCAGAACAAACTGGGACAGGGAGATTTCTACTCTGCAGGTTTGTCTCTGCTCTTGGAAAACTCACACAAGAGTACATGTATAGGGCAAACAGCAGCAATAACCGAATAAAGTAATTATTTACAATCCTCAGCACACTATACAAGCAATCCCCAATGCGTTATCTATGGGTGAAACAGCATGTGCTGATGTGTCCCCTGGTACTCATGTACTACACTTGCTTCTGGACTGTTCAAGTCCTTTAGTTCTTGGTCGTACATTCACACTCCCTCCTTTATCACCTTTCTTTCCCCCAGCAGCCTTCAGCCTAACTCTCCCGCCTGCCCCCACTGCCATTTCTCAAGATGGTCAAGGTGTTGCTAAAGACACTATAAGAATGCAGTGGAGGCACTGAGATGGGAGGGGATGGGGCGGCGGCTTTGTACAAAGTAGCCACATCTGGGCAACAGGCTCCAATTTTCCTCATCAATTGGCTTAAAATTACTTTGCACCAGAACAGCTCCGTCACCAGCAGAAAGAAAGGGGGATGCAGAAGAACCCCCCACTCTGAGAAGTGAAAGTAAATACCAGAAGAAGCACAGAATGGGAAACGAAAGGAAAATCGAATAATTACACTCAGACTCTGGAACTCATCCTACCCTCCTAGCAGTGCCGGATTTACACATAAGCTAAATAAGCTACAGCTTAGGGCCTCGCAATCTGCTGGGGCCTCGAATAAACAAACAATATAAAAATGATTTCAAATATTAAAAAGGCGTATATATTTTATTTTTTTCTGAGACCAGCTGATGTAATTTAAAACAGTAGGGGGCTTCTGGGTTTTGTATAGCTTAGGGCCTCAGCAAGTCTAAATCCGGCCCTGCCTCCTAGCACCAGCCACATACAGAATACTTTCCCTTGTGCATCAACTGAATCCCACCATACAGAGGCTCGTGAGAATCCCAGTATTCACCTATTTTTATGTATCAGGGTTCTCAGTCCCGCAAAGCACTGCAGGAGAGCACCTGAAGCTATGTGCAACAAGGATTAAAAAATGCTAACTTGACCTAAGAGTCAAAGGCCTGGAACGCAGCCCCTGATTTCTTGATGCCACGAAGAGGACGGGCAAGAGGAGGAGGGGAGACCAGGCACCCCTCGCTGATGGCAGCTGGGAAGAGGTGGGAGCCGGGTCTAGTCACGAAAGACGGACGCAGCAGCACCCTCTCGTCATGCCCACACCAGCCCTGGCGGGCAGCAGCTCCCCCCGATTAAACTGGTAGCGGAACTCAGTTCTAAATAGGTGTTGTTGGAAAACGGGGCGAAAGAGACCCTCGTGCATTAAAAAGGCGTGGTCCGGCTCCCTCACCACCTAGCGGGGCTGGTGGGTGTCCAGGCTCCGCGCCAGCCTGCATGCGGGCACGGGCCCGCCCTCCTCACTCTCCACCTCCCCCCCCCGTCGTCCCGCTCCCAAGGACACTCCGGCCCCGGGACTGAGGGAGCGGCAGGGGCTACCGCCCAGGACGCCCACCAGGCCAGGGGGGCCCACACTCCGACCCCCGCCCCGCACGCCGCTTCGGGGTCGCGGCCCGCCCACTCCTCCCCTCAGGCCGCTCCTTTACCTGCCAGAGCCCGGACAGTCGTCCCTCTCGCGACGCTGAGCTCGGCTTGACAGCGCCAACCGCTGGCCACGCCCTCTTCGCTCGCCGCCTTGCGTCACCGGAAACGTCATCACACCCACAAACCAACCCGCTTCGTGTACGGTCACGTGAGCGAGAACGAGCCTTCAGGCAGGCATAGAGGTAGAAAAGGGCGTCTTTTGATTTCCGGTATGGTTTGATACGTTACAGATGCTAATTGTTCTGACCCCCCCAAGCATTTCCCTTCCGCTCTAATCCAGCGGATTGCGGCAGACATTGTCCCTTTGCATCCCACCTTCTGACTAGGATATAGAAGAGGGAGGGCTTCTAATGTCCTGGCCCCACTGGTGGACCTCCTGATGGCACTGGTATTTCTGGCCACTGTGTGACACAGAGTGTTGGACTGGATGGGCCTTTGGCCTGATCCAACATTGGCATCTCTTATGTTCTTAACTCAGAGATTTCAATTTCAACTCTATCTGATGAAGGATGCTTTGACTCTCCAAAGCTTATACACCGAAACTCTAAGGACGGGATTCTCACAAATTAGGACACATCAACCTCCAGTTCTAACATATTTATTGCCTATGTTGTCCCCCCCCCAGCTGAACCGAAACAGATGATAACTAGAAAACGAGCGCGTCATTCTTTTCATCTGTTTTTTAAAAATATTTTCACTATTTTATATGCTAATTTAACAAGCCACCCCTATATAATAAAACTATGATATGTAATTCCGTTTCATCGTTTAACGAAGTGTGCATGTACATGAAAGCTCACATCTTGAATAAAAATTTGTTGGTCTTAAAGGTGCCACTGGACTCTGACTTTGTTGCATTGCTTCAGAACAACACGGCTGCCCACCTTGATCACACTGAAACTCTTGTTGATCTCTAAGGTGATACTGGATTTGAATCTCACAGTATGGTTTGAGAATCTTTAGAGTGTGACAAGAGAGACTTTCATCCATTACTGTCATGGTGCCTGACCAACGAAATGCAATTCAGACAAATATTTTCGTGGACTGTAGCCCACTTTGGATAACTGTGCAAATAATTTAGATAGGTATGGGGGGAAAACAAAAACGACACATCAGGGGAAAAGAGCAAGAGCAGTAGGTATTTGACAGCAACAGGTTAGACTTGGGTTATTCCAGGTCATTCTTCCTTCCTTTAACATGAGGATAATTAATAGTGGATCAGTACATTACAAAGGTGTTAAAAAGGAGGCGAGGGAAGGCGAGGTGAGGGAACGTTTCGCCCCCCCCCCATGGCTGTTGCAGCTGCCACCGACAGCGGCGGCCATAACTTTTTAAAGAGCCCCTAACAAGAGCTGGGGGAGCTGGAATGACTTCTCACATGTGAAACAGCGGCGGTGGCCATAACTTTTTAAAGAGCCCCTAACGAGAGCTGGGGGAGCCGGAATGACCTCTCACGTGTGCCGCTTGGACATCACATGCGAGAGGTGGAATTTGCCTCTACGAGTCCAAGGCCACCACCACCCCGGGGCTCAGGGAGGCGAGGGAACGTTTCGCCGCCCACCCCCCCGTGGCCGTTGCAGCTGCCGCCGGGCTACAGTCCACGAAAATATTTGTCTGAATCACACGTGAGAGGTGGACATCACACACGAAAGGTGGAATTTGCCCCTACGGGTCCAAGGCCACCACCCCAGGGCTCAGGGAGGTGAGGGAACATTTTGTGCCCCCCCGCGGCCCGTTGCAGCTGCCGTCAACAGCGGCGGCGGCCATAACTTTTTAAAGAGCCCCTAATGAGAGCTGGGGGAGCTGGAATGACCTCTCGCGTGTGAAGAGCCCCTAACGAGAGCTGGGGGAGCCAGAATGATCTTTGGGCAATCATGGATTCTCTGTTGGCAATTATGTACTCCATTATCCCCTAAGGGCAAGCGTCCTCTCCATTATTCCTTATGGGCAGTCATTGATTCTCTATTGGCATTATGGATTCTCTATTGGCAATTATGTACTGCACTATCCCCTCTGGGCAAGCCAACTCTCCATTATTCTCTATAGGCACTCATGTATTCCGTATGGGCAATCGCTGTCCTTAGTTTTAGTAAAGGTAAAGGTTCCCTTGCTCGAAAGCCAGTCGAGTCCGACTCTAGGGTTGCGGTGCTCATCTCCGTTTCAAAGCCGAAGAGCCAGCGCTGTCTGAAGACGTTTCCGTGGTCATGTGGCCAAGGTGCACGGAACACGGAACGCTGTTACCCTCCCACCTAAGTGGTACCTATTTATCTACTTGCAATTTCTTGCTTTCGAACTGCTAGATTGGCAGGAGCTGGAACTAGAGACGGGTGCTCACTCCATCATGGGGCAACTCGGGTCTCGAACTGCTGACCTTCCGCAGCCTGCAGAGGTTCAGCGTCTTTACCACTTGAGCCACCGCAGCTTAGTTTTAGTAAGTCCCGTTAAAAAGCCACTTATTACTTTACTCTTCCCTGTTTCATTTGCAATGTAAAAATAGTATTTTCGGACTGCTTTACATGACTTTAAGGTCCTCAGGGTGTCGCACACAGCTCCTTTTCTCTTCAGCAACCCTGTGAAGTAGATAATGCTGCCAAAGAGTGATACTGGCTGGCCCAAGGCCACCCGCCGGGATCCGAACCCAACTCTCCCAACGCAGTCTAGCCATCACCGTCAGGCAAACGCCATCAACTCTGTCTTCCGGGAGGAGCTCCTGGTAGGTCTCTGAAGAGTGCAAAGCCTTCGAACACAACCCGGGAATCCGAAGTGCAGACAAAAGAACCACCCCCTTAGCCTTTCCTCTCAGGGCCTCAAGGAGCCACGTGACACGCCTCTGTCCCGGGACGCGCCCACTCTTCGCCCCCTTCTCACGTGACCGCCCCTTGCGCCCGCGTGGAGGAGGGCTCGGCTTGCCAGCTGGGTCTTGCCTCTGGGCGTCTTGGCCGGGGGAGGCGCTGCCGCAAATTCGCCCCGCAGGCCGTCTAGGCTGTTTTTGCTTCCAGGCGAGTTGCCAGCCCCGGCGGGAAAAGACAGGCTTATTCCCACAGCTGCTTCCACCGTCTGTGTACTGAATCCTTCCACGCGGGGCGTCGAGGTTGCCATTTCCGGGCAGTTCGATGTCCTTTTTCGGCAGGGATAGTTAAGCAGCAAACTGCAGGGGGAGAGGGCGGAGTAGTCACGGCGTACTTGGAATGTAGACTGTGACGGGGAAACCGACTTCGGCTCTCCATGAAGCTCACTTCCGCATTCTCTTTTTTGTCACCCGGGCCAATTCCGCGCTGTCATTTTTGGCACTCGTCCC